AGGCTAAGAGAGAAGAAATCGCTTGCTTGAGGTGTGTGCTAGTAGCAGACCCCAGATCTCCCAGCTCCTGGCTCAGCACCCCCTTCCCTCCTACCACACTGCCAGAGGATCAGGGGAGAGGGCCTCCTAAGTGCCACTGGGGAGGGGAGGCATAGCAGATAGTCTAATAGGAAAGAAGGGCACATCCATGACTAATCCAAATTATAAGCCAATCTGGAAGAACAGGGCATGATATCCACAAGCCCAGTCCAAAAGCCAGAAGCCTCATGGGAAAGAGGAGGCTCAATGCCAGCTCTGAAGGAGTAAGAAGGAGATAAGCAGAGAGGAGGGAGGGAGGCCATTCCAGGCACAAGAGATAACGTAAGCAAACACACTCAGGAGGAAGCCCACAAGGGAGTGGGTGGGGCAGGGCAAAGGGAGGCCAGAGATAAGGAGATAAGGTTGGAGAGGTAAACTGGGGACAGCCCTGAATGTCAGGCTGACAAATCTGGATTTAATCTAAGAAGCAACCGGGAATCCATAAATCCTTTAATAAGAAAGTGATCAGATCAGAGAAGTCCTTTAAGGGGGATTGATCTAGAAGCTTGGGCAAAAAGAACAGGAAAGGATGAGACAGGAGGCAATGAGAGCAGATAAGCGGCTGCCCCTGGTAACGCAGGGTTTGGGCAGTGGCTGTGGGGATGTAGAGACGGATCTAAGACATCAGGAAGGAAGGGTGGGCAGAATCTGGTCGCTGAGGGGATGGAGGCGATACAGACAGGCTGAATCTGTGGCAATGGCCTACGTGCAGCTGGAGAGGAGAGGCTGGGAGGGAAGTCAGAGCTGGTGACTTAGAGTCAGAAACTATCTTTAGAGAGGAGAGAGTTTAAGCTGCAAACGAGAGCCAAAGGAAAGGAGATGCCCAGCTCTCCACGGCGGCAGGCAGATGAAGTCAGAGCCTTTCTCCCCTCCCCTCCTGGGCCTGCTCCTCAGCACAAAACAGGGAGTGTGTCTGCTGGGAGCTGGGCAGGTGAGTCAGTGGGTCAGGAGCCAGGCCTCAGGACAGGAATCCAAAAGGTCAGGGAGAGCCAGGACAGGTGAGAGGAAGTCAGCCCAGCCAGACAGAGGTCAGGGCAAGCAGTGGGACGGGAGTCGGATGAGAACCGCGAGTATGAAAGCAATGAAGGGCAAAGCAGACGGGCCAAGGCCTGGCACATGGTAGGCGCTTAATAAATGCTCACTGACTGACAGGCCATCAGGAGCGGGGAAGAGTCCCATGGAGACTGAAAGAATAGAGCAGGTGAGGCAAGAGAATGGAAGAGCAACAACCCATGGGTCATGGGGCAGCTAGGTGGCGCAGTGGATACAGCACCGGTCCTGAAGGCAGGAGGACCTGAGTTCAAATCCAGCCTCAGACACATAACACTAGCTATGTGACCCTGGGCAAGTCCCTTAACCCCACTGCCTAGCCAAAAACAAAACAAAACAAAACAAAAACAAACAAACAAAAAAATAAATAAATAGGAACCAGTGGGTCCATGAAGCCCAAGCAGCATCTGCTTACGTATTTCCCTCTTGGAGATGGGACCAATTTTCATGCCTGGGCAACCTGGAGTTCACAGCAAAGGGCAAAGGGTGGCTGATCCAGGGCAGATCCCAGCATCTCTGGGGAAGAAGAGAGTTGACAGCCCACTTTTTCCTCAATGGCTGGCATTTCTACTGGGCAACTTTTAACATTTTGGAATTCATCATTTACTGGTTCAATGTGCTTCTCCTACTCAGGTGCTGAGACCCTAGGAAGGTCTATTTCCTATAGCTATGCTGCGATCCAAGCAGGGCCCAGCTATTTCACTAAGAAAGCCTCATAAATAAGGACTCTCACAAGGAAACCCAAGACAATGTCTGTATCCCTCAAGAAGCCTCTGCTCACTCTCTGGCTTGGTTTTGACTCCAATCCATCCAGGAAACATCACCACGGAGACAGCCTCAGCTTTGGTACCCAGGCCTCCTCATCGCCTTAATCCCATTCACCCTGCAGGTCTCCTCTATCCTTGCTGTCAAACTCCAGGCTGCTCAAGGACAGGGGCTGTGTTGTTTTTCATCTGTGGCTCCCCAGGGCCCAGCCTAGTGCCCGGCATGGAGCCCCAGAGTGGGTGAGCCACGAGGCCAGGGACCTCCTCTTCTTCCTTGGCTTAGGGAGGCGGATCACCTCAAGCCACAGAGAAGAGGAAAGAGGAGAGGCAGAGTGATGGAATGAACAGAAAGCCGGCCTCCGAATCTGGAAGACCCAGCGTCAATGACACAAATTGGCTGTGTGGCCTTGGCAAGCCCCTTAACCTCTTAGTGCCCAGAGCCACTGTCTATGACCAGAAGGTGCAGGGAGGGCACTCTCTGAGCTCCCTACATGGAGTCATAGATCCAGGAAAACAAACAAACAGGGAGGGCAATGGGGAGGCTAGGGTCCTAAGGCAAGTCTCCTCATTAATACTGGCTGTGTCCTCAGCTCTGCATTCACTGGATCCCCATGGAGGATACAGAAAAGTAGGAGATGGGTCAACAGGCTTAAAGTCCCGTTGGGAAACTAAGGCTACTACACATGAAACATGATGAACAATAGACAACATTGATGTTACCTAATTAAGTGCCCAGCTGTGTGGCACAGATAGTAAATGCCCGCAGGGCTCTCCGATGCCAGGATGGCATATGGATGCACTCACCAAGGCCAACCCCATTGATCTCATCCCTTTCCACCTCCTTCAGCAGACTGCCCTCACTATCATCCCTTTTTCTAATCTTCAGTCTCTCCCTATCTTTGCTTCTTTTCCAGGATCCAGATTCTCTCCAGCCTTAAAAAAAGAAGATCCAAATAAACCCCTCTGAACTACCATTCCCTCAGGATATCATCCTAAGTCTTTTCTTCCTTTCCTAGTCAAACTCCTAGAGCAAGCCATCTACACTCATGGCTCCCTTCACTCATTCCTCAACTTCCTGCAATCCAGCTTCCCACCCAGCCACTCAACTATAACTTTTCTAAGTTCTGACAATCTATAAACTAGCAAATGCAGTGGTTTTTTGTCAGTCCACATCCTCCTTGACCTTGCTGTAGCACATAACATTGCTGACAACCTCCTGCATACTCCCACTTCTCTTCTCTGGGTTTTCTTGAATCATACATACCCTATATCCTTCTCTCTGTGCGTGTATACCCCAAAATTCTGTCCTAGGCCCTCTTCTCTCTAGGGGCCCTTTCTCAATGATCTCCTCAGGTCCCATCCTTCTGAAGAGGTGCCCACATGTACAGAAGCAGACCTACTCTCAGTCTCTCTCTCAGATCCACTCAATGAATGGCCTGTGGACACCTCAAATTAAACTTATGTCCAAAAAGAACTCCTTATCTCTCCCACCCCCAAATCCTACTCCTCTTTCCAACTTCCCTCTCTTTTTTTAGGTTACCTCCCCCATCCTTCCAGCCACCCAGATGTGAAACCTTGGGTCCTCACTCTTACCTCCCCCACTTCCCATACTCAGGCCAAATTCTCATGTACTCCACAGCCTCTGTCTGGTACCTTTCTGTCCACTCACTCGGCAAGCATGGATTGAGGCCTTCATCCCTTCTCACCTGGATCGACACAGAGCCCCTAACTGGCCTCCCCACCTCAAGGCTTTCCCCTCACCAATTCATTTTCTACATACAACCAACTGCAAAGAGCACAGATGTGAATACAACCCTCTCTTACCCAAAAAGCTCTAGTAATTCTTAGATCAAACACAAACGCCTCAGTTTGGCATTTAAAACCCAGGCTGGCTCTGGGTTACCTTTCCAGGCTTATTACACACACTTCTCCTTTCACACACTCTATGTTCCAATCAAATTGGCTGACTTGCTACCTTTTTTTTTTTTTTTTTTTGGCCCAGCTGTCTTCTCCCATGCCTTCATGACCTCTTAGAATCCTTGCTTCCCTTCAAAGCTGAGCTCAAAGGGGCAGCTAGGTGGTGCAGTGGATAGAGCTCTGGTCTTGGAGTCAGGAGGACTTGAGTTTAAATCTGGTCTCAGACACTTGATACTTACTAGCTGTGTGACCCTGGGCACGTCACTTAACCCTCAATTGCCTAAGCAAAAAAAAAAAAAAAAGAAAAAAAAAAAAAGCTGAGCTCAAGGGCTACATCCAGCCCCTTCCTGATTCCACCTCCCCGACCCCAGCTACTAGTAGTACCCCACAAGAAAGTAACATTTACTTGGACTGAACTGGGTATGGTTCCCCACTGCCCCCACTCCTCTCCTCCAGCAGAATAGAAGCACCTCAAGGGCCTAATGTATCCCCAGTGCCTAACCCAGTTCCTAGAACACAATACAGTAGATGCTTAATAAATGCTTGATTATTGACTGACGGAGCATTTTACAGCCTGCAAAGCAGTTTCTTCCCAATAATCCTGAGGGAGTGGATTTAAGTATTAGAAGTCCTATTTTAACAAGGATGAAATTGGGGCCTGGGGAATTTAAGTGACTTGGTCACACAGCTAGTGTCTGAAATGGAATTCCAAGCCAGACCTCCTGACTCTAAGTCCAGGGCTCTATCCACTTCTCCAAACACCCTCTCTCTGCCAAAGCAGTTTCAGAATCACTTGGCAGATATGAATACGCAAGTAATTATGCCCATCCATTTAAAACCCCATTTTCAAAGCCACAAAGGAAACTAACTGCCAACATAGCACTTCCTAATTATCTTTCCTGTAAATAGAGAGCCTGGGTCTTCAAATTGTGCAATACGGATTGTTTCCACACGCATGTCACTATTACAATCACCAAGTCACAAATAAATCACCGAGCTTTTTTTTTTTTAATCACCACAGATGCTTCAAGTTACCATCACGCCCAGCAGCTAATGGTTCACAGAAATAGCCATCTGGAATGCTCCACTCGGGGCCATTCTGGTTTCAAAGTCAAGACTTCAGGGGTGGGGGGTGGGGGGGAAAAAAGGAACAGTAGCTTGGACTCAGGCACACAGGGAAGCAGGACTTACCTTCACCTCCCTGAAAATTCTCCTCGGGATTCTGCCCCCAGAGCTTCCTTCTACTTGCCGGCTCACCAGGCAGGCCCGCAAACAGGCCTTCCTCTGGGCATCGGCTGCCAACGCAAACAAAGACAGCAGGATCAGTTCAACGGAGGAACAGGAAAGTCAGGGACCGAGGCACATGCCCAACAGCAATGGAGCACCTACTCTCCCTCCCTCTTTCTGACTGTTCTCAGGTCCAAGTACTTGACACTGGCTGCTCTAACTCCATTGGGAATTCCTGGGAGGCAAGATCTGGGTCCCACAACTCTCTATAATCACTGCCCTCCACCCCCAAGGGACACCAGGTATTTATAATACACAATTTTAGAGTTGAACGTGTGCATGTGGACATGTGCAAGGGCCACTAGGTGGCGCTATAGTGCACAGCCTGCCGGGCCTAGAGTCAGGAAGATTCATCTCCCTGAGTTCAAATCTGACCTCAGACACTTAATAGCTGTGTGACCCTGGACAAGTCATTTAACCCTGTGTGGCTCAGTTTTCTCAACTGTAAAATGAGCCGCAGGAGAAAATGACAAGCCACCTCAGTATCTCTGCCAAGAGAACCCCAAATGGGGTTGCGAAGAGTGGACATGACAGAAATGACTGATCGATAACACAAAAATTTAAAGCAAAATGTCCCCACTCCATGCTAAAACAGTCAACAGAGGCCAAAATTCCGGTGCTGGACAAGGGAGCACCGGACACCCAGAAAGTGGCCTCCCCAAAGCGGCAAACATATAGTAGGAGAAGCTGTCAAGTTTGGCCTGGAAGGGCCAGATGATGTAATGGCCTATTTAAAATGATTACGCTCCTGTGGAAGGTTTTCTGAGACAAAGTCATACTACAGGAAGCCTCGCCCTCCAGATGCAGAGGGCAAGAACAATTCTCATGAACCCCTATCAGCGAGAGCTGGGACGTCAAGAATGAACACGGAGCCTCAAGGAGCCAATTCTGGCCAAGAAGACAAGCTCCCACAAGGTCACAGCAGGGAGATCATCAAGCAGGGGAAGGCACTTCCTTCGGCCTTGGGTCCTTTAAGGCTCAGCGCAGGGGCTTTCCCCTCCAGGGGCTTTCTCCTTCCTCCGCCTCCACCAAGCTTGTCCCCGATTCTCCCAGGCTCTCGCTCCTCCGACCATCTTCTATTGCCTTATCTGGATAGAGGAGGCCTGCCCCTGACCCACACTGGCTGTGAGACCCTGGGCAAGTGTCTGAGCACACGAGATGCATGCAATGCCAGCTGCATGGGACAGAGGGAGCCTCCTCACCAGGAACTTCCCTACTCCAGTGAAATGACAGATCAGGCCCACTCCCCTCTCTGGCTGGCAGGATATACCCACTGTGTCGTCCCACCTAGGAGAACGGAGGCTACTAGATGGGGGGGTGCAGAAGCCTACGTGGTTCTGCCCCCCACTTCTGGGCCAATCCCTCTTTCCCTGAGAATTGAGGGGGAGGAAGGTGGGCAGCAGACGGCCTCTCTCCGAGCCTCCATAGAAGGAGGCCACCCAGGGCAGTAAGCTCATCCTTTCCCTAGACTCCTCTGGATTTCATCATGCCCCTCCCACCGCTTCTTTCCTTGCATTGTCTTTCCCCATTAGACTGTAAGCTCCTAGAGGGCAGGGAATGTCTTTTGCCTTTCTTTGCATCCACAGTGCTTAGTGCTGAGGCCTGCACATAGTAAGAGCTTAATGCTTTTTGGCTGGCCAACGGACTCCGATGTGCTCATTTTTATTGAGCTCCTGTTTAACTGTTACAAAAAAGGGGTTACAAAAAAAGGTCACAAAAAAAGAAGATATTTCCAGAAATAACTTCAATGTTAGAACAAAAGCATCACTAACACATCTGAAATGGGGGGGGGGGGCACAAAAGTTTCTTGAGGGTCAAATTGCTTCTCCTGTGTCTGGATCCCCAGTTAGTGCTGAACTGCCTGGAACCTAAGACTGTTTGCTTCTGTGGCTGGGGCCAGGGGGCATCCCACCATCACTCTCTCCGCCAGCCCCTGGCCTCAGCCAGAACAGCCGACGTGGGGGTGGGAAGAGGATTCTAAAGTCTGTAAAGAGCCAGGGGTGGGAAAGGTTCCAGGTGTGCATGTTGGTAAGCAGAGTGGTGTCGTGTCCACCCCCCCACCCCCGCCAAACAGCCGTGGCCCCCAAGAGCTCTGGCTCAGCTCCTGCCTCTTCCCACGAGGGTGGGGGGCTACCTCTGTGAAGTCCTATCTCTCAGGGTGCTCCAGGTATCCCAGTGGGTCCTCCCCCTTCTGCCCTGGGGCATGGCGTTCTTGGGTAGAGCATGCCCACACAAAGCAATCGTGGCCCATCAAGACAAAAGCAGACACCAAGAACTGGGAGCCCACAGGCCCTCTGAGAAGGGGCAACTCCCTGGGAACCGCTTTATCAAGCCCAAACCCAGATGGAGACGGGCAAGAGGCAAAGGGGACAGATACTGCTTCCCTAGTCGGGCAACAAGCCCCTACTAAGTGCCAGGCCTGTGCTAAGGAGCTCCCTTTCTAATGATACGTCCATACAAAATACAGAGCAGGGGAAGGGAGGGAAGGCAGCACTGGTAGCTGGGGGTGGGGGTGGGGTGCTGGAAAGGCCTCCTGCAGAAGGTGGGGGTTGGGCTGAGTAATAGAGGGAGCCAGGCATTCTATGAGGCCGAGGTGGGGAAGGAGGGCATTCCAGGCACTGCGACCGGGCAGGGCAAAGCCAATGCAGTGGGGGGTACGAGGAACACCCGATGTGGCTGGATCAGAGAATGCAGGCGCAAGGGCA